TTTTTTTTTTAAATAAATGTATATTTACTATTTTAAAAATTATAAATATTTTGACGAGCCCCGATAAATGTTTTGAAAAATGTATATTTTAAAAAAATAGAAAATGTGCATATATATATTTTTTAAATTTAAGATTTCTTTGTAGACCGTAGGATCGTAAAAAAAATTTTAAAAAAAATTAAAAAGGGGCGAGCCGACGAGCCGAGCTTAAGCTCAGCTCACTGAGCCGCTCGCCTTGGGCGAGCTTGGGCACGAGCTGAGCTAGCCCAAATGGCAACGAGCCACGAGCTCAAGCTTGGCTTGTTACCAACGAGCCACGAGCTCGGCTCGTGCGACAATGGGTCGAGCCGGCTCGGCTCGACCCATTGACACCACTACATACAATCCATCTTATCAAACATGTCGATGTTATGTAAGAAGTTTTTGCATAGTTAAATTTGTGGTCAGTGCTTTCCATAAGATCGTGCATAAATACTAATGTAGCATATGCATCAGTTTCTAACTCAATTTAAAAAAATGCCCATGTAACATATTTCTAGTCAATGATCAGCAACAAATGGCAACATTGCCCATAAGATTTTTCTGTCCACATTGATTTGTGTAGTTAAATTTTAACCGAAGCAAAATGAATAATAATTAAAGAAGATGGACGTAGACAATGAACCCTAAAATTGACAGATATTTTCATCTTTAGTTTCCAGAATTTGAACAGGGGCTTTTGACAGGGTGGGGTGATTTTTTTATTTTTTTTTCAAACTGTCCAATCACTATTTTTTAACCTGTCATTGAACCTGTTTGTCTAGCAAAACTCATTGTTTCCATAGGCAATGATCATACCCTACAAGAAATGTCAACATTCATAGTATACATGATACTAAAAAGTTCGATGATAACTTGAGTTTTCATAGACAAACGATGCTGCCTCGTAGAGGAAATTTTTTGTCATTCTCGACCAAGAAAATTGCCTATTCAGATCTAGGGCTGTCCGTGGGTCGGTTCGGTTCGGTTCTGAAAAGACCCGAACCGACCTAAAACTTTCGGGTATAATTATGGAACCGTTCGGGTTCGGGTCGGTTCGGTTCCATTCGGTTCCGTACTATAATCAATTTTTTTAATATTTACAACAACACTACATAAATACAATTAATGACATTTCATTCGTAACTTTTACAAATTAGGGTAGCCCAATTCAAAAACATATAAAACGAGCTCGGCTCGTGCGACAATGGGTCGAGCCGGCTCGGCTCGGCTCGGCCCATTGACACCACTAAATACAATCCATCTTATCAAACATGTCGATGTTATGTAAGAAGTTTTTGCATAGTTAAATTTGTGGTCAGTGCTTCCCATAAGATCGTGCATAAATACTAATGTAGCATATGCATAAGTTTCTAACTCAATTTAAAAAAATGCCCATGTAACATATTTCTAGTCAATGATCAGCAACAAATGGCAACATTGCCCATAAGATTTTTCTGTCCACACTGATTTGTTTAGTTAAATTTTAACCGAAGCAAAATGAATAATAATTAAAGAAGATGGATGTAGACAATGAACCCTAAAATTGACAGATATTTTCATCTTTAGTTTCTAGAATTTGAACAGGGGCTTTTGACAGGGTGGGGTGATTTTTTTATTTTTTTTTCAAACTGTCCAATCACTATTTTTTAACCTGTCATTGAACCTGTTTGTCTAGCAAAACTCATCGTTTCCATAGGCAATGATCATACCCTACAAGAAATGTCGACATTCATAGTATACATGATACTAAAAAGTTCGATGATAACTTGAGTTTTCATAGACAAACGATGCTGCCTCGTAGAGGAAATTTTTTGTCATTCTTGACCAAGAAAATTGCCTACTCAGAAGTCAGATCTGGATCCCGCAAGCTAATTTCTAATTCCCTATCATTTCTAATTCATACCTTTCTGCATTGACGCATGAAGTAGAAGAAGTTACCCATGATGCAGCATTTTTCTAACTTGTAAGAAAGAATCAATTATCTTTTTGGAAATCTCAAACACCTGCTGTGTTTGGATTCTGTTGTACTCGGGGCTGTACTAAGTTTTGCCATGTTTCGTTTTGAAAAGGAGTGTTTCTCCATTGCATTTACAAATTTGCGCAAGTGCTTAATGTACTCCAGGAAAGTTTCAAGATTGCAGTGTCCTCCACCTTGGACCCACAATGGATCATATTTCTCTTTAGAAAGTTCCCACGGTCGCTTACCATGGAACCAATCGACAATATAATCATTTGTGCCCTGCAAAAATTGAACCAACGAAATAAGAGTTGTCCAAAACACAATCAGCTAGGGCTGCGGAATACAGTTAGAGGTTAAATATCAAGAAGGAAGGTTTTTCCTTTTTTATTTTTTTTGTAACACACAACTATGTTAATCTATCCTGACCCATAAACTTGAGCATATAATGGTTTTTGGACAAGACAAAAGCAAAGTTTGTAGTGACAACATAACCAATTATTAGAAACTTGCAGGAGAAACTTTGACATTCTAAGTAGAAGAATATTTGAACGGTAATGTAGCGTGTGATACATTGGTCTCTTCGTCCAAAATGAAATATAACTATTGTTATGCCACTGGTGAGGGTTTCTCTTGAACTAACATATATAAGCAGACTTATGATTATCAGATTTAAGCATTGCAATCAATTTGTCATCTACATAGGGCAACAGCAGTCAAACAGATTCCTCAATGGAGATTCCTTGAAAATCCAAATGAAGTGAAACCTTATCCACAGAGAAGGTTGTCTTCTTTTGAATATTCTGCCAATTATTTCAAAATGAGGTTTCAATATTGGTTATAAATTATTTGACTCGTCATTCAGTTTGAATATTCTGCCAATTATTTCGATTCTTTGTTTCACTTTCTAGTTTTTCAAATCCAGAATATGAGTTATTTTTCTTCCTTCTATCTGAACTGGAGTCCTCTCTTCAAGATTTCATAATACAAGTTGCTGCATCTAGCAATACCGTTTGAAATTGGTATCCTTCTCTTTTCCAGAGTTTTATCAACTTGAATAGAAGAAGCCCGAAAAACATTTAGTCCCATGAAAAATATGACTACCTTGCGAACATTCTGTAATAGATCAAGAAAATCTTTCTAATCTTATTCCTAGTTGAAACTTTTTTTCCTATTCTATATAACTTTTTCAGGACCATTTCCTTCTACACTTGCTAGTAAATGTAATACCAGCAAGCGTAGCTAACTCTTGAAATTTGATTTTATTCCTAAACTTGACAAAGCTTTGATATTCTCTTTCACGAGACAGAAACTCGTAAAAGATAACTTTATTTACCACGTTACTGTTATTCCAATTCCACATTTCTCCTTTAATTTGGGATAAATGTTAGTCCAAAAAAACCTTAACCCCTCTAGCCGCAATCAAATTGCCAGCTCAATCAGGAGATGGAAAAGTATTGATTTGTTCCTCAAACCAAAGGTAGTACAGTAGTATCAACGGACTAGAAATTGTAACACCACATAGAAAACTCAAAAACTTTTCATTGTGAAAGTGAGAAATGTAATTGCAGCATAGAAAAATGGATGTCCCGAAAACGTATTTGGAGAGGGGGAAAAAAGACAAAAGAGAAGTCATTCTTACATGTATAACTAAAACGGGGCAATTTACATTCCGTATTTTCGCTACGTTTTGCATAGAATGAACAGAAACTTTCTCAATCACAAACCTAAATAAGATTAGGAGATAAAATGGAAAACCAAAAGACTCTTGAGAAACTTACTTTAAAAATGTCGAACCAGAATGTGAATTTGACATTGTACAGAACTCGTATTCCTGAAAGAATGGCACTATGAAGAACAACAGCTCTGAACCTCGGTGAGCAAGCAGCCAAGTGTAGCGTTGGACCACCCCCGACAGATTGACCATACAAAACAACATCCTCTTGCTTGATTCCATATTCATTCTTCAAACAGTTATAGACAACCTCGATGTCATGGTAAGTGTTGAAATTAGATGGCTGTCACATGAAAAGAATGAATCAAGCATAAGATATATCCATTAATGGCATATAATATGGCTTCTTATTGCCTTATATTATTATGGAAGAGAACTTCATGGACAATTTACTTCGGATATTTTGAACTTTTTATATTTGAAATGCCATTTATTCTATGCACATCAAGGGCATCAGAAAACATCCAATCAAAAATCTCACATTACCAGTGGATGCTTATTGCTCCATATCTCGAATAGTCATAGCTGCTATAAGGTAAAAGAAAATACATTGTTAGCAACAACTATCCCAGATAGAAGTTTTGAAACCATATTTTTTTCCATTCGTAAATTGCAGCAAAAATAAAAAAAATATTGACTCAAAACAATCATCCGACCAATTACAGCAGTAGGCACTAGGCCGGCCAGCTAAAATCAGAACTACTTTTTAATTGTGTTAGGCTGCATGAAATCAAATTCAAATTTGTAGACAAGAATTTCTATCCAATTTCGAGGCCTCAACCCATGCTACCAAACAGTCACTTCAACAATTCTAAAATAAGCAACCTCAGGAAGAACCAAATGTACAACTAAACCAACAAAAAGGACAAAAGAAACACCACCTCAATATCAACACAAATCACAACCTCTAACAACTCTCTAAATTCAAATGATGATTAACTAAAATTTATTTCCAAAGCCAAAATTCCGATTTTCCATCTATATCTGTACTCATATCTACCATGTTTTTGTTATTATCAAAATTACACTCCAAAAGGGCAAGAAAACCAAAAAGTTTTGACATTTCCCCTTTCACCCTGCTCAGTAAGGAAATTGCTGAAAACCACAATCTTGAGGCACCCATGTTCAATACCAACATTACAATCAAAACCCATTGAAATTTACATTCCAAAATTTTTTTTGATAGGTAATCACGTAAATTTTATAAATCAAAAATAAAAGATAATACACAAGGAGTGCATTATCATGTTAAACAAGATAGAAACGATAAAAAATTCGGCAACCCTTCTATCGGACTAACGGTTGCAGCCTTAAACCAACTATACAAAGTCAAGTAAAACAATTCTCTAAATTGCTCTGTCGTCCG